TTTTATGGCATGTGCTTAGTACGAGACAACAGCTGAAATCGACTCCTGAAAGTTTTGTTTGTTATCTTAGGGTGGAAGGATCTTGTGAATCATCTATTTGAAAAGCTGGACTCCGTTCCAGCAAGCGTTTCACCTGCGGTTAAGGTTAACTCCTGGGAGCAGGATTATGCGGGAGCAACACGCGTCGAGACACTAGTGCAGCACTGGGCCGTGGGTGGCTTTCGCCTCTGATGTAACACCTTCCACGGGAGCGTCCCTCACTGACCCCTGCAGCATGCAACAGCACAAAAATGACGCGGTCAAAGAAACCATCCAGCAACATCCTTGTTTAAAACCTGTCCGCACCGGGACCCAGCCGCTGAACCCTAATGCAACTAGACTGCCACGCCGCAGGGAGATTGCAGCTGCTGCTTCTTCCCTATACCCCAATTTTCCTCCCCAAAACTATTATTAGAAATGCCAGCAATTTCTTGTGGACTCAGGTATGAACGTTCCCTCAGACTGTTTGCCAGTCAAATACTTTATAGTGAAAAATAATCACAAATGGGCTGGATGAGCTCACATTCATCACTTGGGCTGGCTGCAAAACCCAGCAGGAGCAGAGAGCAACTAGATCGGCTCAAACTTTGGACCCTGTAGCTACACAAAAAGGGAATTTTCTAAATGTATTTTAAACTTGCCACTATCCCTCTCAATTTTGATCAGCTTCATTATTATGGCACATAAATTTGGTGTCAGCATTGCAAAAACAAACACACCTCACAGAGTTAATTCACTGGCTATTACCTCAGCTCACACTTACTTAAAAATCCTTCCTGTTGTGTGGTCAGTATTTTAGAAGCAAAAATGTTAGACGTTAAGGAAAAAATTTAAGCAAGTCAAGTCAGGGTGTAAATACATGAAAATATAACTCTGTAGATCTTTCATCCTCTTTTGCCCTCGTACACCAGATTCTGCCTCCACTGTTGCTCGTTCCTAAGTCTATGAAGAAGGTGGATTAATTACTTTTTGGAATTAAAGTTGACTGCAAGCATTTGCTAGTTCATGCTGGAAATGCATCCGGAATGGCTGGACGCTCATGGACTTTCCCACGGCCAACGGTGGGGAAGCAGCAACCGGAGCAGCCCCCTGACATTACACACACCCAAGGACACGTATATGTGTACAATTAAAAGTTTTCGGCCTGGAGAAAAACCTCCTCTCCTGCGCTTGTAACAAACACCAGCCCATTGACTCAGAACCAAAAAAAAGATCATAAAAGAATTACAAATGTTCAAGTGAAATATGATTATTTTTGGCAGGGTCACAAGAAAGCAGAGCGCAGGGAGAAAAGCAACACTGAGGATTAGACTTTATCACCCTACTAACCTCAGTGCTAACGTGCAGCGCTAGATTAGCCTTAAACAACCAACTAACCAACCCACCCGTAATTTAACTTAATTGAAACCTTTTACATTTTAATATTCAATATCCCTTTCCCATGTCACTAGGAGCTTTTTACAGGCTCTCTGTATAGGAACGAAACATTCCCAAATTCCCCCCCGGAGAGGGAGGCGAGCAGCTCTGGGCACGGGCGCAGACAGACTGTTTTACAACAGGAAGGATCCAAAAAGTAATATGAAAGAGAAAAAAAAAAAGAAACAAAAAGCTCCTCCACCCCCACAGAACTAAGGCTTTACCAAGGATTTTTATAAGTCTAAACCCTTTTTTCAGTAAAACATGCAACAGCAGCAAAATCATGATGTTTCAAGATTCTGCCACTGGTGTGGGGCTGATGTGACCTGGGGATTTCGCCTGTGCTGCCACGCTCTCTCCAGATAAAACAGTATACAACATTCACAGTATACAGCCCGGACCTAGGAGGGGATGGCAGACCTCCTTTCTCCCTGGAGAGGAAGAGCGTGCCATTAAGAATAAAGGCAACAGCCCCATCTGCCTGAGAAACAGGTCTTAAGTGAAAGGCACTGGGGGCAGAGACAAGATTTAAACATAATTAGCAAATATACTCAAGGGTACGTGTAGGGGTTTCCTTGCAGTCATGTTTGGGATTTGCAGAAGACATATCCAAAGCTACAGGCACCTATATCCAGATTTCAGCAGAATTCTTTACACTAAGACAGAAAGAAATGAGAAATGTAAAGGCGCAAGCCAATGCAGGAGGCAGAGCCCTGGCCTGATGCACCCCACTACATGACCAAATTTTTCTTTAACGTGACACAGTGAGGGTTTCCTTTTCTTTTTCCTGGTTTTGCTTTCTTAAGCATGTTAACGTCCTGGAGTACACCACACCGCTCAGGTAACTGCCATAGGTTCCTGCTCCTCCCCTCCCCTGACTTGCACCTTGGTGATGGACAATCTGGCCTACAAAACCTACAAAATGTTTACCATGTATTCTCTTCGAAATTACTTGCATCCTTGTCAGGATTTGACTCCACTATGCTGGGGGGCGAAGGACCGCCTGGATGGCTGACACGGACGGCGTGGATTTGGGCAGCTGTGTCAGAGAGGCTCCGCACACCAGCGTGAGGAAAGCCAAGTGAAATAAACTGCAGTGATAAGCTGAAACAATAGAAAAAGCAGTAATACTTTTAATGAAGACTTTCAGAGATACAAGGCTGTGACAATGCCAGCTGCAAATTCGATTCCCCAAGTAGACAGCCTTTTCTTTTATTGCCACAAGACGCATTTCCAACAACCAAAACGCGTAGGTTCAAGAAGAGGCCTGCTCCCAACTGGTAGAAAGTGCATTAGGTAAAAACACAAGCAGCCTACTGTCAGTGGAAGGCAAATCACACTGAAACAATTCAGGTGTACCTTAAGCTACAAAGACAATATAATATAACACAGTAGTAAAGGGTCAAATTAGAAAATCCAGAGAAAAAGACAAACAATAAGCTGGCTTCTTAGTTTATGGTGAAAAAAAGTACAAATACACATTCTGGAGTAATATCAGATTCACTTTACATAATGCAAAGATTAGAGGCATCTGTCAGAAGAGCACCAGGTTGCAGTACTGCGGTTTAGCTATTCTGGGCATCCAGCCTGGCTGAGAACCACCTTTGGAGGAGGAATCCCTTAATTCCTGAAACTCGCAACACTTGCGAATTTCAACAGTTTCATTTCTCCTGTTTCGTTATACTAATTAAAGATAGTATTCACCAATTCACCAATTCAAAATTCACCAATTTTCCAATGCCTCTTCTTTCCTTAGATTCTTTATACCAAAAAAGCAATGTTTATGTACAAACATAACTGCTTGAGCTTCCAAGTGCCCCTACATACTGCATTTTAAAATAGTTTACCTGAAAATCTATACCCCAAAAGTCATGAGGAGCAATCACGTTCATGTTACCGTTTTAGCTGTCATTCTCAAGTGTTCTACCTAAAAGTGAGAAAGCATCTGAAAGAAAATTGGCAATCTTTTTAAATCTACATCTATGATTACAGACGCAACGAAGTCCTTTTGTTGCTCAAACACATGAGAACCAACAAAATAGATGCTGATAGAAATTTTGCCTCAACGCTGCAACGATGTCAAAATTCTATGACAAAGTAGAAAAATACACTTAACTGTAAATAGGGCTGAGGAAAATAATCCTTAGGTTTTCCTTTAAAAGTAGGCATACATTGGGGCACAGCTTTAAGGGATCACGAGCTCAGTACATTAGCCGTCTCATGAGAGGTCTGGTGTCCACTGAGTCCATCAGGAAACCTCTCTAGCTACGGTCGGGCCCCCGCCGCCCCGTAAACTGCCGACAACCACTTCTGCTTTACAGCAACAGATAAGCGGTATGTTCTTAGCTAACGCCGTGGAGGCATTTTGACAAAACTAAAATCACAGTTGTGGCACTAAACTGCAGCTTGAAAAACAAATTTTATGTAATAGGAGTAACTGAACAAAATGGATCAATATGCCAGAGACCCTTTATGAGAAGTGCAAAGTTCAGCTTCTCGTGCATTGTTTTGACCTAGACTACTAAGTGGGAATAACGTGAGATTGCAGAGCTGCAACTTAGGGGAAAAGTGTTGGCCAGACCAGTGTTTTATAACCGCATCATAAATCAGTACCTAAATCAGTACCGCACTTTATCTAGGGGCAAATAATAGAGAAAAAAATTACATATTCAAATCATCTTTGTATCTACACAGGCTATCTTTTTTTTTTTTTTTTCCAGAGTGCTGACTAAATGAAAATGCTGATTACTATGGGGACAAAAGGTTCACAGAAAAATGATATTTGGGCAACTCCATGAAGTTATTTAACCTTCCTACACCCCACGTACCCATTTTGACACTTCAGGAACACAGCCAGATTTCTCTGAATGGTTATTCTTTCATACCTAGATGAAGTTAATTACTATTTTTAACAAGATGCATCATAAAATGATAGACTCAAACGCAGTCAATAAAATCAGTGTGAATCTACATTATTGTTTTGAAATTGTCACTAGAAAAATAGTCTAATTATAAAAATAATTTGAATGTCAGCACAGAATAAGCAGTACCATTTTCTTGCTGTCAGTTTTGTATTTAGATTTTTGAACTGTTTGTTAAAGAGGCTTGTTAAGGAAAATATATAATTTCTCAATATATTATCAACAGTGTGTATATAATTTAATATAGAATTGACAAATACGCAACATAAGACAGTAAATTACAAGTGGTTAATAAATTCTGTAAATATCATTACAGAAACGCACAGTTATGGCAGATCACAATTTCAACTTCTGAATCACTGGCTACAGAGAAAGATAAAAGACATCTGTAGCCACCTGAAGTCAATATTATTTTCTCTCCCCTCAAAGTTTTCTGTTAATATGCAATGTTTATAAAAATATACCATTAAAGTTTATATTTTTGTATATATATATAAAGCTGCTATGGGCAACTCGAGTGCGTGTGTGTGTGTGCATACACATGTGTGTATATATGTATATATATATATATATAAAATTATATACACACACATACAAGCACAAAGTCTTTTTAATATGTATATGCATAAAATCACTTACTTGATGGAAAAGCCTGCCAATTATATCTGCATAACCACAACCTGGATACAATTTGGTATTTTTCCCCTTTAAAAAGGGAAATTAAAAGAGCCAAGTTCTGAAACCCTGCACAAAATACAAACGGGACCTAGAGTGACAGAACTATACCCTTACCTTAGCCACAGAGCAAGTGAAACACTAGCCTGCAGCCTTTCATTCTTTCGACAAGTCTTTTTTTTTTTAATACTAACACAGATTCCAATTAGAGAAGAAAATTTAGAGAAGCAAACGTGAAGCTGAAAATTCTGCTTTTTCAAGTCCTCTTAAAAAAGAAAAATAAATCATCAGATACCTAATTTAGGTTTTACACTTAGAAAACCCTACCATGAGAAGCAAACAAACCTAACTAAAGATGGAAGCATGAATCCCTGGAGGTTACCAATAGTTGCTGAAACCACTTCCAAGGTAGCTTTTCCTAGATAATTCACTTCAAAATGTGTATGTGTGTAAATACACGTAAGTACGCTAGCAATACAGGTATATACTCCCATGGCTGCATACAAGGATAATTAAAAAAAAAAAAAAAGATGTTTAATCAGGATTCCAAACCTCTGACTTTCCGCTCTGCCAGCAAAGCTCAGGCAACTTTGGTCTTGTTTGTGTAACCTAAAAACTTAAACTCAGACATACTCTTCTAGAAACACAGAGCCCATCTCGCCATACTCCTCCTCACCACCTAAGAGCCAGCGCAGCAGAATCGCTGCCTTTGTCCCAGAGACCCCATTCCACTTGACAGGAGAGAAGTTAATTCAGTTTGAAATCTTGCTTCCTAATAAAAGATATGGAACAGAAGAACTGCTTTAAAAAGCTTAAGAAATCATTTATACGCGTGGTAAAAGAACAGCTGTTTTACACAGTTAATACCGGGTACATTACAGATTATTTCTCTATACATCTGCCTGTGGCTTGTTTTGCTCGGGAGAGCTGTGGAGGTGCTACTGCTCTCCTATAATATAATGCAGGTTTTCTTATCCTTGAAAGGGTTTTCAGAAGCAGGTATGCCCATTAGCAAAGGATCTTTCTTGGCATGTTCTTCACAATAGAGCATCAGGTCTGCCGATGCTTTTGACACCTGTAGAAGACAGAAGGAAAAAAAAAAAGAAGGAAAATGACCAAGTATTTCCCCATAACTACGATCAAATTGGCTCAGAGCTGTCTGCAGATACAAGGATTCTGTGCATGTAGGGCGAGATGCTAGAAAATCAACGTGTTATTTGGCTCCAGACCGCATTTCCCACAAAAGAGAAAATTTTGCAGGCTTTGAC